GTATAAATCAAGAAAAAGCCTTAGGAGCCAATCCAGAGAAACGAAACTTGTAGATAACAGATAGCTAGTGCTTCAGATGGAAATGCCCTAGCCTGCCTTGTCTTAGAAACATCTTCCCAAGGCTAACAGAAAAACCCTTGGGGAGCATAACCTCTTGACTGAAGCGGACGCTTTGTCTGGATTGGATGGTCGTTGGCGCTACGGGGCTGTGCTTGGATGTGGTGGTAGGTTAGGTTCAAAAGATGTCTATCATACAAGTCGAGTCTCGAACGCCGTATAGCCCTCCCACCCAACCACCGACACGCTGTTTCGGGCACCCCGGCGCCCAAAAAGACACAAAAACAAGAAACATTACCGACATGTTGCGGGCTTAGAAACAAGAGGGGCTTAATGTAGGGCCTAAATAGCAAGACTCTGAAATTGAAACACACCGAACAGAACCCCAGACCTGCAAACAAGAGGCCAATGAAGAACAAACCCTGAACCCTACCGATCCTCTATCTTGTTTCGAAGTGATGCACCGTAAACCTCACACCCAAAAGAGCCAGGGTTTAGGGTTTAGGCAAGTTTAGGCCATTCTTTCTGGAGAAATTGCCGGAACGTCCCCGAAACCCAAACCCTACGTGCCCTGAGCCAAGACCCTAATACCTAGTAGGCGCCCCACACCCTAAGCCCCGAACCCTGAACAAGAGCCAAGCTCTGAACTTTGAACCCTCCCTGTTTAAACCCTGAACCCCCAAATCGCTAACTCCCTAAGCCCCTAAACCAAAAACCCCGAGCACTTTTCGCCATCCGCGGGCGAAAGAGCGGCGCTCTGATATCGCAAGGCCACTGAAAGGCAAGGAGCTTTGGCGCTTAGGGGCTTAGGGCTTTAGTAGGTTTAGGAACCCTAAACCCCTAAACCCCTATAAACCCTTAAACCCCTAAACCCCAAAACCCTTAAACCCCTAAACCCCTGAACCCTAAACCAAACCCCTAAATCCCTAAACCCCTAAAACCCAAAACCCCGAAACCCCTTAAACCCCAAACCTCCAAAACCCTAAACCCCCAAAGCCCAAAACCCTAAACCCCTAAACCCCCAAAGCCCAAAACCCCAAAGCCCAAAACCCTTAAACCCCTAAACCCTAGGCAGGGTTTCGGGCTCTTCGGGCTTTTGGGGCCTGGGTCTTTCTGGCTTCATCGCTTCGGGCTGAGCGTTTGGGGGTTTAGGGTTTAGGGGTTTAGGGTTTAGGGTTTAGGGGTTTAGGGTTTAGGGTTTAGGGGGTTTAGGGATGAACCAGTATTTGGGTAGTTCTTTGAATGAGGATCTCTTTTAGGATCCTTTTTAGAAGGGTGCCGTACTATTTTGGGGACCTCAAAATAGGGACCCCAATTTAGAGAACTACCCATTTCTTTTTGGCTGATCTTGGTGCGCAGGTTTGGAGCTGTTGAGTTGTTAGGGCCTTCGGGTTTTAGGGTAGGCGGGGGGTATAGGACAGCTTGGAACCTCGATTCGATCGAAAAGGCTCGAAATTTCCATATCCCTGGAGCCCCTGAGCCCTAAACCTTAGGGGGTTTAAGGGTTTAGGGTTTAGGGGTTTGGGGTTTAGGGGTTTAGGGTTTTAGGGGTTTAGGGGTTTAGGGGCTTAGGGGTTTAGGGCTTTAGGGTTTAGGGCATCCTGTCGAAGCGCCTGTGCCTCCAGCAGCCGCGCTAGCTGGGATCTACAATTTAAAATCCGACGGAAAGCTGGTGGCTTAGGGGTTTAGGGTTTAGGGGTTTAGGGCTTAGGGGCTTGAAGCCGCCAGCTTGCACGCCTAAACATCGAGCCTTAAAGGCGCGAAGCCCTGAACCTAAATGAGAACGTCACCTGTTCTCCGAAATGGTCTGCGATGGCTCTTCCGGGAAATGGGCGGTCGGCCTGATCCATGCAGCACGGCAAGTGGATCATGGCCTTCTTGGCAGTGCTCGGTGTTGCTCCCGGGCTCTCTCTCCGATAAAGTACCGGCCCTCCTTGAATCGCTACTTCCCACTGAACCTTCCGACTCAGCTGACCGGGCAGTCAGGCAATGATTCGAAAGGATCTTCTGCCTCAGCACAATTATGAATCCACTTATCGTGCTTTTGATTGTTCTTGTGATAATGTATTTTAGGTGCCGCCGCTGATAAAGACTGCCACTGTCGTGGTTGCAGTGCTCTAGCTGTACTGGCAGTGGATATAGAAAGACAGCACCAACATGTCAGCCATTATCCCGCTCGTTCTCATCGGGTTCTCTTGTGCGGCCCATCAAGCATAATCCTAACGAGACCGAAAAACAACAACTAAGGCCTCTTAAGTGCAAGTCCAAAGGGCGAAACTCGACCCCGCTGCACCCTGCAGCTGAATACTGCCATCGTAGGTCCAGGTGAGTGAGAGACTGCTCGCATTCGTCGCCAAGGGGTTGTAGGTCTGCCTCAGGTAGCAGCTTGGCACGATAACTTTGGTGTAGCTCCCTAACTTAGGGTCCCTTTTTTGGCTCCTTTTTCCTAAAGGTTGCCGTACTAGTTTATTGAGGACCCAAAAAGGGACCCCAAACCCTAATCCCTATAAACCCTAAACCCTAAAGTACAGAACTACCCATTTGGGGCTCGGGGTCTGCACTCTTGGTTTGGCTTACTGCGATGCAGGCCTAGCGATGTTTCATCGAAACCCTAAACCCCAAAGCCCTAAGCCCTAAAGCCCTAAAGCATTAAGCCCCAAAGCCCTAAGCCTTAAAGCTCTAAAGCCCCAAAAAGGCGAGTTCGGATTTCACGCGTTGACCTTTAACCCTGCCATGGGTTTAGGGTTTAGGGGCACAGCTTTGTATTGCAACGCAGCCTGTGCTCAAAAAATCACATCCTTTAAAACAATTCTGGGTCGTAGTTTTGGGGCTCCCGAAAGTATTTATGAGTAGGACCTCCATAGAAACCATAATCGTACGTTTAAAGTCCCCACAGTGACACCTAGAATTTAATGAAACAGTCAAAGCAGTCCGTCCGCACAGGTTCCTCGAGCTGATTGCACGAGGCACGCCCTGCCCCACCGAAATGGGTCTAGTGCTTGACGGATTACGTCAGGGCAATCCGCTGTCGGGGGGGGCAAGTTCCCTAAACCCTACCTAAACCCCCAAAAGGAGGGAAAATCATGGCCCAAAACCTCTAAAAGGCCATTATTCTACATACTTTTGGGGTCCAGGTATGGACCGTTCGGAACTCTGTAAAGCCCGTGCAAATATCATATGACACCCTTGAAAGCCACGGTTCCCAAGTTGCCCAACAAGACCCAACCAAATCCCTAAACCCTAAACCCTTAAGCCCCACCCTAAGGGTCCATGCACCCAAAGCAGGACCTACTTTGGCCTTAAAGTAGTCCCTATACAGGTACTTTGGGGCCAACGTATATACTATATATGAGTACTTATATGGACCCTTAAACCCTACTAAAGCCTGCAGCACCCTTATAGGATCCCTTTAAAGGAAACCCTTAAAGGGAGCCCCAAAGTGTGGACCCTTTAGGGCCAGTCAAGGTACAAAGAAGCGACTCCCACTTGCACTTCCCGGCCAGCGAACTTCGGGTCGAAGAAATACCTCCGCTCCGCATGGGTGCTCACATCGCAGACGAACCCTAAACCTCCAGCTAGCTACTTTGTAAGGTCCTAGGGGCTCTAGTACCCTATATAGTAGGTACCTGGGGGGTTAGGATCAATTTCGAAATGCTGGCCAAAGGAGGTATTACGCGTTTTTTCTGTGTTTTAAACCCAAAACCTCAACTGTATAGGGTTCAGGCTTCTGCTGTATGGGCTTACTGTTTCGGCCGCAGGGTTTACGGCTTGTAAATAGGTAGAGATGGATTTCATAACTAGACTGTAGACAAGGCTTGGCAGCATCTTTCTGACTCAGTGTAGGGTTCCTCCAAGTTTTGAGAGGCCCGAAATTATGGAATATCAGGCAATGCTGGAAGTTTCTAAACAATTGGACTTTCTAAGCTCGAGTAGAGGTTTTGGGGCCGTGCCATGCAGTGGTGTGTGTCATAACCCCAAACCCTAAGCCCAAAATGTCTGACAACATTCCCTTGGTTAAACCAACAAAAAGGACTACAATGGAGACTACAGGTAGAGGAACGGTTTAGGGTATACGGAACCTTGGACCTTGAAGGTCCCAAGGCGTTGACCATGGCTGTGGATTCTGAGATTTGGGGCTTGGAATTCGGGGCGCTGCGCTGCTTGAAGCGATTACACACACACACATGTTTTCAACCAAGAACCTTGCGGAACTTGGGGTGCTTAGGGTGGAATTCGGGCCCTAAACCCTAAACCGCCCATTGGCTTTCAGATCGCTTGAAGTCGCTAAAGTCCCAACAGGACCACTCTTCGCCTCCTCGGGGGCTCTTGGTCTCGAACCCTGCCGCTCCTAAGCGGCTTAACAACTCAAAAAGTGCGGTGGATACTGGGGCGGGGGCGTGCACGACGTCTTCCCAGTTCCTTGCAAGTCCGTCGCCCGCAATCGTGCTCCCGCCACGACTATGTTAATGATGTTCATCGTTTGGCTGCGCCGCTCGTCTCAGGTTTCTGCCTCTAATCGTGCTGCTGCTGCAGCCGCACGCAGTCCGTGTTTGCTCCCGCCGCAACGACGTGCAGCTTTGCGCTGTGACTCGCATTTCCACCTCCGCCAAAACGCGCTCTCTATTGTACTAATTACCACCACGGTCAGTTCCGCGCATTTCTGGGTGTCAATTCGTGCTCTCGCCAAGGCGGCGGTGTGCATTTTGCAATCATGGAGTAGTCTCGGGAACCTCATCTGTGTTCTTTGCAGGGTTCCTGCATGTGTGGCTGCTAGGGGCTCGTTCACTATTCGGGGGGTTTAGTCTGCTGGTTTAAGCATGGTCTGAGAGGTGCTGTAAGAGTGTCCTGTAGAGGAACCCTGAAAGGACCCCTATGCAGAGGCAGACTCCCGAAGACGTAGATTCCACGACACAGCAAGAGAAAGGATGAACGGAGTGCGTCACAGTTGCTTCGTCCATTGCTTATGCATCGCCATGGACAGTAAATAGCCGGTGGAATTCAATGGGCTGTCGTGAGGCGGAAGCAGCAACAACCTTCCAGCAGGAGATAGCTTGGACGTCTCATCCAAGATTTGGTGAGCTGCCTCGATGATTTGCTTGCGCTGCTCAAGGTCAGTGTAGTCCAGGATACAGGTGCCAACTACTTCTGCAATCCAGTTCCTGGGTTGCTCCTTGATGAGAAATCCCTCTCAAGCCCCGCAACCTAATTGGATAGACCATACCAAGAAAATATCCCAATCGCTTATATAACGAAAAAACTCTTAAACTTGAAGCTTAATTAATACAGGTGTACAGAAACTGTCGCAATTCTGTGCCAAGGGTCATAGAGTATGCGAAATGTATGGTATCGCCGTGAATTGAGCAGTCCCTTGCCAACTTGTGGAAATGCATGGGCGCCATGTAGTCCAACACGTTCGACCATGACCTTAAGTACTTACTTATCTAGTGTCCTAGTGGAAGTACGGGTCAACCTTTGGGATATATAGCAGATCCGAAAAGGATCAATGTTACCTGCTCTACCATTAGCGACCTTGATCGGGGTACATTCGGAATAGACTTTATCTTATGCGGGCTTCATATCAGGACTTAGACAATGCCCAGACTAAACTACCCATAGGCTCCGAAGTAGTCCCTTTTGGGGATTACCTTATAGGATCCTAACTAAAAACCCACAAGAAGGAACTATAATGGAGCCTATGGGTATACTATAACATACTATAATATAATAATAGACTGCATCGTAGACTAGAGTAGAACCGTAGGTTTATTGACCAATAATGATTCCGTGAGCATAGCGACTAAAGGCTCAGGGTGTTGGGGTTTAGGGTTGAGGGTTTAGGGTTTGGGGTTTAGGGCTCAAGCTTTGGGTTTAAAGGTAACCCTAAACCCTAAACCCTAAGGCTTAGGGCTAAGGTTTTGAGTTTAAAGGTAACCCTCAACCCTAAGCTCAAACCCCCTAAACCACAACCCTAAATTTAAAGGTAACCCTGAACCCTAGACCCTAACTTTATAGGGGTCTAAAGAGCCTTCGGGGTCGGTCACGAGGCTTGCTAAGACTAAAGAAGAGCGACACTTTGAGACAACGTAAGGGGCACCTAGGCACTTCTCCGAGGTCATACTGTTGATGATATAAGTCCTGAAATTACCTTGAAGGGCCGTGAAACTATGGGAATTAGGGTAGATTCCTTACTATGGGTAATGCAGGATTTATATCATCCACCGTACTACAATAAAGAATGATTCCTAAAGAACGCCCCAGCTCCCTGGATATTAGAATGTCCGGGGCTTAAGGTTTAGAGCTCAAGGTTAAACCCGCAAGCCTGAACTATGCAGTCTTGTTTGGACCTTTTCCGGCTCGATTTGCTAGACATTGGGGTTTAGAAGCCCTAAACCCTAAACATTGGGGTTTAGAAGCCCTAAACCGTACACCCTACACCCTAAACTCAAGACTATTCCTAATTTCGAGGGTTTGGGGCTCAGGGAGGGCTTGAAGGTTAAGGGGAAAAGCTACGCTTCCGAATAAAGGGGTAGCGGGTACGGGGCCGTGCGGGGTGGTACAGGGCGCTGTGGGGCGGTACTGGGCTCTCTTGTTTTTGGAATCTCGGAGAATCTGATTGGGGGTGTTTTCGCATCCAAGTGACATTGTCCATGGCCGTTGTTGTGCAATCCACTTTGCAATCGGGGCGTCTGCTTCAACGAATTCACACAGCAGCTCGATTCTGATGAGCCCCTTCTGTATCAATTCACGCAGACGCTGTAACCTCTGCAGCAGCACCTTCACCAGACACTTCGCAATGTTATCCTTTTTCGGCCCTTCAGCCAAATCATCAACCTAGGCTGGCCCGTTAAAACCTCTGAGACACATTAGTACATGAAGAAACACATGAGTAAAGAAATTCCTGTTAAGTGCAGTAAGGGAAATATGAAATATCCCAAACGCGTCCTAGCAGCATCAACGGCATTGAACGCGCTCTCGCCCCGTGCGATTGGCGGTGAACCTTCCGGCACTGACCACATCGAGGGATTCCCCACTTCAGGTTGCTCTGAGTCGAAAACCTCGGCTTAGCGTTAAATTGTAGGGCGTCAGGGTTTCGACTGACCGTGGCTTAGGATGTATGGTTTTTGGGTTTAGGCTTTAGGGTGCTCTGAAACGAACACCCAGAACTTTGGGTTTAGGGCTCGGGGGTTCTCGTGTTTAGGGTGCAGGGCTTGGAGGGTTTAGGGCTTAGGGCGCTCTGATTGAAAACTTGGGTTGTACTGACAAGGGTACACAGTTTTCAGCACACGTACTTCCATAATCTTCCATACTTCCATACAGCCATAAGGAAAGCTTGTTAAGAGTTGTCCAGCCATTCCTTTACGGGGCCGTAGATCTATGCATGAGTAGACAACGATGAGACCACGAGGAAACTCAACATTAGAGCTTGCCAGCTAAACCCCTAAACCCCTAAACCCCTAAACCCTAAACCCTAAACCCTGGACCCCTAAACCCTAAACCCTAAACCCTAACCCCTAAACCCTAAGCCTAGAAGCGTCTCCTGTAAGGAAGTACTGGCACATCCGGAGCTGGTCTTTGTCCCGCTTCCTTAGAGTCACTATAGAGTTTAGGGTTTAGGGTTTAGGCACTACTACTTTATAAGCCCTAAGAAGAATGAGGCTATGGGTCCATAGCATGGTTGTGGAGCTTCGGGCTTTGGGGTTTCGGAAACCCTACACCCTAAACCGCCTAAAGCCTCGGGCAAACCCGGCGGTGGGACGTTGCGAAGACCAAGGCTTGGGGCTCACACATTACGGCGGTTCCAAGGAGGCCCAACAAGATCCCTCAAAGAAGGAAAGCCATGCCTTAATCCTATACCCACCACTTTTCATCCAAGTTTTGGATGCTCCTGAGAACAGCAGGGACCACGAACACGTCCAACAAACCGTCCAAACCCGAACCGTGGCCAAGCTTCATGGATGTGATGTCCGTTCCATTGCGGCCTGCCCAGCATTTGCGACGGGTCCAGTCGGGCTTGGGTGCATGCGCTAAGGAAATGAAGGACCCCAACTTGAGCATAGAACAGAACCTGATTCCAAGAAACCCCCCGGATTGCCAGAATGCATGTCCCAAGACTCACCACAAGGCAAGTTCGCTTTCAAGGGAATATCCAGCCCCCCTAAACCCTTAAGCCCTCAACCCTTAAGCCCTAAACCCCTGAACCCCTAAACCCTAAACTCCTAAACCCCTAGACCCTAAAACCTAAAACCCTAAACCCTAAACCCTAAATCCCTAAACCCTAACCCCTAAACCCCTAAACCCTAGACCCTAAAACCCTAAACACTAAANNAAACCCTAGACTCCTAAACCCTAAATCCCTAAACCCTAAACCCCTAAATCCCTAAATCCTAAACCCCTAAACCCTAAACCCTAAACCCCGAACCCCTAAACCCTTACATTGCCTTACATCAAAGCGACCTTCTCTGGTCGCCAGCCAAAGTTTGCGGGCTTCGAGCAGCGGGACAGGTCCGCAAGCGACCCAATGGGAGAGGAAGGACTTCCTGGGCAAATATAGGGTTTAGGGTTTAGGGGTTTAGGGCTTTAGGGTTTAGGGGTTTAGGGCTTTAGGGGTTTCGGGGCCTAGGGCTTTAGGGTTTAGGGTTTTGGGGGTTTAGGGGTTTAGCGTTTAGTGTTTAGGGGTTTAGGGTTTAGGGGTTTAGTTAGGGTCTGCTCGGCTTCCCAGAAACACCTCAATAATAAGGCGGCCTGTTTTGCCTCATGTTCGGTTTTTGATAAAGGGTACTACCCTAAACCCGAAACCCCTAAAGCCCTAAAGCCTAAACCCCTAAAACCCTCAACCCTAACCCGCTAAAGCCCTAAGCCCTAAACCCCTAAACCCTAAATGCTGTTTGGAGGATGTCCAGGGTTCTGGGTTTCCTGGCCTCGGGTTTCTCCTAGGGCTTTCTTGCATTTGGGGAGTTCTCTAAATGAGGGTCCCTGGTTAGGGCCCTTTTTATGAGGGTGTTATACTATATTTGGGACCTAAAAGAGGGACCCCTACTTTGGAGATGTAGTTGGGACCTAAAAGGGACCCCATACTTTAGAGATATAGTTGGGACCTAAAAACACTACCCATTGAGGCATCCGAAGTCTCCCACGTTGCGAGAAAACGGGGAATGCTGCCGAAACCCTACCTTCTGGAACCCTGGACTCGAAACCCTTTTGCTGAAACCTGGGGTTTAGGGTTTAGGGTTTAGGGTTTGGGGTTTAGGGTTTAGGGTTTGGGGTTTAGGGTTTAGGGTTTAGGGTTCAGGGTTTAGGGTTTAGAGTTCATGGGTAGTTCTCTAACTTAGGGT